TGAGAACTGAATTCTGAAATTTGTTAATAAACTAAATTGTAAGAAGGAAAAGCAGAATGATTTAGTGAGAGGCTTACAGGAAGCCAATAGCTCATTCACTAGCCTTTCAGCTAAGAAAAGCAACTGGAAAATCTAGGTATGAGTCAACTCTAAAAGAAAATTTCACCTTTCATTAAAAAAGGAAGAAAAGCAGAAACATCTCACAGAGGAAAGCACTAAGATTTTTAAATTACAGCTATGAAAAAAATTTTATCTGTGGATTTTTCAATGATTCTGTAGAATTCTAAAAATTACAGCAGTACTATAAAAATGGTCAAAAATTCCAATGACACAGAAGGATTCAGGAAAATTTAATTCACGTTTTAAAAAAAAAAAGGATGGCTACTGATGATGGGTTGCCTTTCTCAATGAATCTGCATCTCCCCTTGAGGCTTAATTTATAATAGAGAAATTAAATTTGAATAATTTTTCTTGAAAATTTTTCTTGAAACTTCTCTCTATATTCCATCATAGTTGTCACCTTGAGATCTGTTTGATCCACACTGCCTATCATATGAAATACACTTAGTACTCTCTTGGCTCAATAATAGATCAAAGAGTACTCCTGAACCACAATTATTTAACAGACCTTCCTTTGAGATTTATATTATGCTGTAGTATAAATTTATAATCTTCATCTAATAAAGTCCAAGATATCCCTCTATCAGCTCACTTAATTTTTTTCCTCTCCAGTTCCATTATCATCCTTAGTAATTTCAAATACATGTTTATAATCCAGACATTACCACATCTAAAAGTTCCTCAAATGTCTCTACAAAATAAACAATCATCTACATTATACTTCAGTAATTTACTTATTTAAAAAAAAATCTTTTGTACCTACTTTCTAATTTTCAATCCCACCCTACTTTTATATAAAACCTGTTTTACACTCTTGTGAGAATTTAGCTTTATTATATCACACCTAATTTATTAGCTATCCCTAGCTTCCTCTGACCACCACAACCAAATCTGAACCCAGAGTTCTATCTTTCAAATATACTCTTGCTAGCACTCTCAAATCATTTGCCTCCTCATCTACTTCACACCATAAACCAAGTATGTTAACCTCTAAGGAGAGTGTTCTTTCTCCTTCACTGCTGTGTACTGGGGAACAAAATCATTAAATTCTACAGATTCTTCACTAAGAATTTGGGGATCATAGTTTCAAAAGGATTCTCAAGGCTATATGGTCATTCAATTAGTTAAACCTTCCCATTCCCACTGCTCCTCAATGAAAGTACATAAATGAAACCTATGAATCATGTACCTGCTTCTTACCTTCCCCTTCTCTATACTGGCTGCACACTAGAATTACCTAGAGATCTTATTTTTTTTTTAAATGTCAATGCCGTGGCCCTACACCAAAACAATTAAGTCAGAATTTGAATGGGGGTGAGGGGTAAGAATTCTGGGTTTGGGAACCATGTCTGCTTTTTTACTTTTTATTTGCTTCTAAACCTTCATCTATTTTTTCTTCTCTAAAGTTATCTTAACTTTTCCTGATAACTTCCTTTTTCTCTTATAAATCTAAAACTTTTCTAAAATTTTCAAGTTTATTACAAAATAGGCTGTAAAAAACAGGTTATTTGACCTATGTGTCATTAAAAAATTAAGAATCTGTGTTCGGCAATTCATTTAACTACATAATCCATTAGGTAAAATAATACCTAACGGATACACCATTTAACAGTATGTTGTAGTTTATGTCATCACAATACATACAACTTTATGTAATTGTGAAGTTACATAAATACTTGAATAATAATAAGAAGACATATATTTTTGTGGAAACATAACTGTTACATCAAAATGCCAATTAAGGTAGTGTTTTTGTCTGAGTAGGTTTTATGGCATCCTTGAAGGCATACGGTCTTATCCAAATGTGCTAGCCCAGTTATGACAACACTCTTAATGCCAACTCGAGTACTGGCCTTGTGTAAGACAGAAGGAGAAACCAAAATCATCTGCAATGCTGGTTTTCAAAATACTCTTTTTTTTTTTAAAAGATTTTATTTTTATTTATGGAGAGAGAGCAAGAAAGAGAAAGCATGAGTGGGGGTGGGGGTGGGCAGAGGGATAATCAGACTCCCTGCTGAGCAGTAAGCCTGCTGTGGGGCTTGATCCCAGGATGGAACCAAAGGCAGACACTTAACTGAGCCACCCAAATGCCCCTCAAAATACTTTTGCTCACCATCTTCTCTACCCACTTTTAGACATGCCCCCAACATAGAGTCATTATTACATCATAAGATCCTTCTAGAAAATGTTGAGACACTAAAATTCCTTTCCTGCAAACTAGTCTGAGAGAAACAACATTTTTCATTGACCCGTGTTACTAATAACTTCAATTTCCACTAGAATTCACAATGATTTAAATTCTAAAAGTATACATATGAATATACAATGTGGAGAGTCACTCTGTGGAACCACCACATAAAAAGTATTCTCGAAGAGAAAAAGTGTTTGGCCAAGAGACAACCTGAATTATCCTTAGCCATCGAGGAAATGAAATATGTAATTTAAAATCATGAGGCCCAGATGGTTTCACTGAAAAATTCTATCAAATATTTAAAGAAAAATTAACATAATCTTCTAAAATTATTTAATTTTACACAATCTCTTCTAGAAAGTAAATAAGGAAGGAAATTTCCCAACTCATTTTATGAGGCTACTATTAGCCTAATAACAAATTAGACAAAAAGCAGTATAAAAAATGAAAAGTACAGACATATATCTCGCATGAACTTAGATACAAATTTCTAATAGACTATTATTAGTGAACAGAATCCAGCAATATATAAAAAGAGTGATATACCATAATCAAGTAGGATATATTCCAAAATGCAAGGCTCATTCAATATACCAAGATCAATTACTATAAAGCACCGTATCAAGCACCTAAAGATGAAAAGTCATATCAAATCGCACCAAAAAATTTTGATAAAATCCAACACCCATTCAGGATCAAAATTCTTAGTGAACTAGTAGAGAGCTTCCTTAACTTGGTAAAAAACATCTTCAAAAATCTTACAGCTAGTACCATCATTAAAGACTAAAGATTAAATACTTACTTCCAATGATGAGATTAAAATTTAAAACAAAAACTGAAACTTTCAGGAAAAAAATTAGAGAAAAACTGGGATATAGGGCTAAACAGAGTTCAACTAGATAAGAAAAGTAAAGCTGTAAAACAGGAAACTGGTAAACTGGACTCATAAATTAAAATCTGCAAAAGATCAGTCATGAACATGGAAAGATAAGCCATAGACTAGGAGAAAATATTTGAAAACTACATGTCTGACAAAGGACTAGTATCTACAATACATAAAGAACTCTCAAAACTCAGGAAAAAACCCAACTAGAAATGGGCAAAAGACATGAAAAGAGAGTTCATCAAAGATGTGACATACAAATAACAAATAATCAAATGAAAAGATTAACACCATTGCCATTAGGAAAATGCAAAATAAAACCATAATGAGTTATCACTACATACCTACAAAAATGAGTAAAATAAAATAATGACAAATGCCGGTGAGGATATGGAAAATCTAGAATACTCACACTGCTAGAGGAAATGTAAAATAATACAGCTACTCTAGAAAACATTTTGGCAGTTTCTTATAAAGCTAAACATACAACTACCAAACAACTTAGCTATCATGGAGAAATGAAACCTTAATTTCACAGAAAAATCTGTACCAGGATGTTCACAACAGTTGTATTTGTAATAGTCAAAAATCAGAAACAACAGATGTTCTATAACAGATGGATGGTTAGACAAACTGTAGTACATTCATACCATGAAATTTTACAAAGTAATAAAAAGAATGACTATTGACAAATGCAACAACTTAGATGGATTTTGAAGGAATTATGTTATTAAAAGCAAAACCCAAAAGATCATCAAGGGTAGGATTCCACTCCCATCACATTACTGAAACAACACAATGGAGTACAAATTTCGGATGTGGGAGGGGAATGGGAATGGGTGGATGGGTGTGGCTATAAAGGGCAAGAGGAGGGGTTCTTATGGTGACGGAACGGTTTTGTATCTTCACTATTTCAATACCAATACCCTGCTTGTGATATTATACTATAGTTTTGCAAGATGTTACCACTGGGGGACACTGAATAAAAGGTATGTTGGATCTCTCTGTATCATTTCTTACAATTGTGAACCTATAATAATTTCAAAATCAGAAATTTGTTAAAGCATTGTTGCATATGTATTTGTATTTACCCAAAATTTTCTTTGGTACATTACCACTAAAAAATATTTCATTCATTTCAAATGATTTACTTCTGTAATGTAGGGAGAAATTTCTAATCACTGGAGGTAATGAAAAGTAAGTGGACTTTTGTAGGTAAAAGTGTGTCCTCTCTATTAAACTATTAAAAAAGAATGTTTAAGGAGATAACTTCATTAACCATAAAACATAATTAGGTGACCTATACGGCAATATTAGAACCAAATTCTATCATATATTTACCTTCATACAGGATATAAAGAAGCAAATTTGTTTCATGATTATATCAGTATTTTATGCAATAAAAGAATATTAGTCTAACAAAATTATTTTCTAAAATACACTGATTTTGAGCTTGCTTATACTTTTTACAGATTTATATATTTGAGAGAGAGAGCACACTCATGAGTGGGGTGAGGAGCAGACAGAGAGAGAAAATTTCAAGCGGACTCTGCACTGAGCACAGAGCCTGACCCAGGACTCAACCTCAGGACCCATGAGATCACAACCTGAACCGAAACCGAATCAGACGTTTAACCAACTGAGCCACCCAGGTGCCCCTGATTTTGAGCTTACTTTCAAATGCACATGTATAGCTGACTATAACCTTGAATAGCTGCTGAATTCCATTATACAGATTTACATATATGTAATAAATACACAAGCACAGGATAATAATTTAAAATTATTTTAAAATACGTAAATTACCTGCACACAGAACACTGCCGCTGAGGCTGAAGAGCAGTGAACATAACAATCATAGAATAGTTTCGAGGTGGTGCCTTTATAAATTTTCGGAATTTATCACCATTCATTCGGAAGATTGAGCGCCTGGAACTCCATTCCATCAGTTGTTCTACTTTTTCAGCTAAAAGATTCTGCAATTAAAAATAGGAATTTAAATTTACACAGAGTTAACATTCTTCACTTTGTATTTCATATAAACTGAATTGCATGAGATTATGTCTTAGCCAAAATTAATTTCTCCTACAAGTTCTTTTGGTGAACGTATTCATTATTAATTGATGTATATGCATAAGATATTTCATTTCATTTATAAGTCGAAAGACTTATAAAACAGATAACAAAAGATAAACAGACTATCCAGAAAGATGAAATAGATATGCTATTCCCTAATCCTCCCACTAAATACAGCAAAAAAAATCCTCTAGCCATTACATAAAAAACAGAGTAAGGCTCTGAGAAAGGATGCCCACTGCTTAAAAAAAAGAAGGAAATCCTACTTGTGACGCACAGATAAACGTTGAGAATATTATGCTGAGTGAAATAAGCCAGTCATGTAAGGACAAACATGGCATGATTCCACTTGCTTGAGGTATCAAAAATAGTCAAACTCATAGTACTAAAGAATGGTTATTTTCAGGGATTGGGGAGGGGAAAATGGATAATTGTTGCTCAATGGAAATAAAGTTCCAGTGATGGATAATGAGTAAGGTATAGAGATCTGCTGTACAACACAGTATCTATAGTTAACAGTAGAGTATTGTGACCTTTAAAACAAGTTAAATAGGACAGATCTCATGTTAAGTATTTGTACCACAACCTATACACACATGCAAAGAAAACAAGGAAATTTATGAAGGTGCTGCATGTGTTTGGTACTTTATGTTAACAGAATCACAGATGTGTACATATGTCAAACTCATTGATACATGTATCAAATGTGTTCAATGTACTATCAATTATAATCCAATAAATCTTAAAAAAAAAAGGAGGAGGAGGAGAGAGAAGGAGAGGTAGGCCTCTTACCCTGGGATAAGGTAAAAGACTTGGTGAATTGCTCTGCACCTATCTGAGGAAGAAAAAAGATAAACCAAAAGAAATGGAAGAGATATGGAAGAGAGGTGGGAGAGAGGGACAGTAACTTGGTCAGAGCAGCATGCTTAGGTAGTAGTTGGAAAGAACATACAGGTAAGTGCACAATGGCAGACTGACAGTATGAAAAAGAACTATTACAGCTAATTACTGGGATAATTGTTACTTAAAAAAAATTTTACCTTAACAAAAAGGTATTAGTTGAAATTCATCCAATCTCAAAACAAATTATTTGGATTTGATTATATTTGACTTTGGGCCTTTAATTCTGACAGCAAATATAATATGAATATATTTCCATACAAAATAAAATAATATTCTTGTTAGACTGAAAATTAAAACTTGATACTGCTCTGCTTCATCAATACACACAAAACCGCTAAAAACTAAGCAGGACTTTTACTAACTTTTCTTAGTTTGAATTCTGAGAAATAAAATATTTTCCATGTCAAGCATAATTTACTAGTGTTTGTCTTATTATTTTAAAATCTTCAATTCTTCGTTTTGGGGCAAGATGGTGGAAGACTGGGGGACTCTATTTCAACTGGACCCCTGAATTTAGCTGGATATCTACCAAGCTAGTCTGAACACACATAAAATCAGCCTGAGATGTAAGATTATAGATATGGATCTCTATGGGGACAGAGGATCTTCAATCTAGACCTACAAAGGACAGAGTTATGATTGTGTGGACAGATATTGGAGCATAAACAGAATGGGGGAGGAGGCCACAAGAAGCTACCTACTGGAAAGTAAAATAATACACCCAGTGCAAAAACGTCCTGAACCTGGGGACCAGTGATAGCCTGCAAAAGAATGGTGGTGGAATGGGAAGCGCCAGAGAACAGCACTAGAACAGAATCCAGGAACTTAAGGGACAAACCGACGGTACTAGGATGGCTGCTTGTGTGGACCTGTGCCTGTGGACCAGGGGGACTGGCCATCGTTGCCGCTACCACAGCCCCTGCCTAAACTGCAGCCCACACCCGCCCAAACTGGTATCACATGCAGTTGTGGAGACAAAAGGGGCAGAGACAAGCAGGTCCTGGGTCGACTGCTGAGAGGACCGCTGGGGACATGCACTGCCTGTGGGAGGCTGTGGGTTGCAGTGTTGCTTACAGAGGGGGAGACTGTGTTCTGGAAGATTCAGAAAGGAGCAAACTGTGGCTTCTCTACTCTGGGACAAAGGTCTGGGTGGGGACATTTTCCTTTGCCCTGACCCTCTGGAAAGGTGCAAAAAGAGGTCAGAGAACAAAAGCCACCAGAAAACAAAAGCCAAAAAACCTGTTTCCATGGAGCCCAGCCTCTTGGTGAGGGCAGGGCAACTCCACTAAAACAGGAGTGCCTGAAAAAAAATGCAGCAGGCCCATCCCCTAGAAGATAAGCTGGAAGAACAAGAGGACAACAACCCAAGGAACCCCATAAAACTGTAAAACCCCAACACCAGAGTAAAATAGTATCCTGATCTCTTGGTGTTGCCTCATGGCCTATGTATGTCTTAGATACAACATTTTTTATGTTTTATCATGGTTCTTCTGTTTTTCTCTTTTTACCTACTTAGCATTTCAACTAGATGTTAATACAACATATTCCATAGTAACTTTTTAACTTCTACTGTTTCACACTAATTTTTCTCATTTTCATATAGATATAGATACAGATACACACACAGGTATAGATATATATGTATATAGATATACAGATATAGATATAAGCTTCAATATAGTCCTTTTTTCCCTATTCAATACTACCTTTATATACACACACACATATACACATACCAGTTTTAATTTCCCTGTAACTCTGGGAAGAAGTGTTCTCACAAAGAGAACAAAACATGCCTCGGAAGAACTGAAACACCCTACCTCACTGACATTAAGAGATTATGGCCACCCGTCCGCTCACTCCCTCTTTTTTCTTTTTTTCTTCTTTTTCCTTTTTTTTTTTTTTTTTTTTAAACATTGTAAATTTTGATTCTTGGGTTTCATTTTGGCTGGGTTTTCTTGGTGGTGGCTTCCAATCACTCTGAATTTTCCCAAGGAACACCTTGCCTGGACTGTGGTTGCTATTTTCAACTCTGTACATTCCCTGAAACACCCCTCAACAAATGACTAGGGTGGGTGAGGAACTCCCAACAAAGAAAAGAACCAGAGACAATGGTCTCTCCCGCAGACCTAATGGATATGGATATAAGCAAGATGTCCAAAATAGACTTCAGGGTAACAGTTATAAAGACAATAGCCAGGCTGGAGAAAACCATTAATGGCAACATAGATTCTCTAAGGGCAGAAATGAGAGCTAAGCAGGCAGAACTTAAAAATGCTATGAATGAATGCAATCTAAACTAGATACTCTGACAGGTAAGATAACTGAGGCAGAAAAATGAATTAATGATCTAGAGGACAAACTGATAGAAAAGAAGGAACAGGAGGAGGCCTGGAACAAACACCTTAAAATCGATGAAAACAGAATGGGAGAAATAAGTGATGCCATGAAATGTTCCACTGTCAGAATTACTGGGATCCCTGAGGGGATGGAGAGAAAGAAAGGACTAGAAGATATATTTAAGCAAACAGTAGCAAGAGAACAAACCAATGCCCCAGCATGCAACAATAAAACTCACAAATCTTAGAACTAAGGAAACCATGTTAAGGATAGTTAAGGGGAAGAGATTCCTTACATACAGAGAGAGGAACATCAGAATAATGTCAGACCTAGTCCACAGAGACCTGGCAAGCCAGAAAGGGCTGACAAGACATATTTAGGATACTAAATGAGAATAATATGCAGCCAACAATTCTTTACCCAGCAAGGCTGTCATTCAGAACAGATAGAGAGACAAGGAGCTTCTAGGGCTGGCAGAAACTGAAAGACTATGTGACCACTAAGCCAGCCCTGCAAGAAATATTAAGGGGGGTTCTATCAAAGGAGAAAGACCCCAAGAGGGATACAGAACAGAAATTTACAGAGATCTATAGAAACAAGGGCTTCACAGGCAACATGACAGTAAAATTATATCTTTCAATAATCACGTCAATGTAAATGGCTTACATGCTCATGTAAGCTCATGGCTTACATGCTCATGTAAGCTCATGGCTTACATGAAATGGCACAGAGTTGCAGATTGGATAAAAAGACAGGACCCACCCATATGCTGCCTATAAGAGACTCATTTTGCACCTAAAGATACATCCAGACTGAAAGTGAAGGGATGGAGCACTATTATTTATGCCAATGACCGCAAAAGAAAGCTAGGGTAGCAATTCTCGTAATCAGACAAATTAGATTTTAAGCTAGACTATAGTTAGAAATACAGAAGGGTACTATATCATGCTAAAAGGGTCTATCCAACAAGAGATCTAATTGTAATTTAAATATCTATTTATGTAAATATCTATGCCCCCAACATGGAAGCAGCCAACTAAAGAAGCCAACTGTTAAACAAAAAAAAGAGACATACTGATAATAATACATTAATAGTAGGAGACCTCAACACTCCACCCTCAGCAGTAGACACATCATCTAAGCAGAAAACCAACAAAGAAACAAGAGTTTAGATTAACATACTGGACCAGATGAACCTCATAGATATATACAGAACATTCCACCCTAAAACAAAAGAATACTCATTCTTCTCGAGTGCACATGGAATGTTCTCCAGAATAGACCACATACTGGTCACGAATCAGGTCTCAACTGATACAAGACTGAGATTATTCCCCGCATATTCTCAGACCACAGTGCTTTCAAACTAGAACTCAATCACAAGAAAAAAAATTTGGAATAAATTCAAACACTTGGAAGCTAAAGACCATCCTGCTTAAGAATGTTTGGGTCAACCAGGAAATCAAAAAAGAACTGATACAATTCATAGAAACCAATGAAAACAAAAACACATCAGTCCAAAACCTATGGGATATTGCGAAGGTAGTCCTAAGGGGGAAAAAGTAACCATCCAAGCTTCACTCAAAAAAATAGAAAAATCCCTAATTCACCAACTAACTTTATACCTTAAAGAACTGGAGGGGGGAAAAAATGAAGC